GGCTGGTGTGGACCTCCACGGTGGTCCTCCCGCTTCCCTCCAACCGAGACTCCCTGCGCTGCCCTGACTGCTCAGGCTCGCTCCCTTGGGAGCATCTGATCCTGGGGGCCTGTCCAAAGAGACTAGTTGCTGTTGTCCCTAGTGCAGCACTTCCACGAGTTGTTAGCGCTTTAGCGTTCCCTTTACTCTTCTGAAGTGAGCACATTCCAGCTCCTTCACCTTGTTTCTGACGCTGTGCTTCACTGCGCGTGTCCTCAGATTGTTGGGGGCTGGCGCTGGGTTTCTTTTTCCTGCACTCAGCCAGCAGTGCTGTTCTGCTGAGGGCGAGTTCCATGGAGACTCCCATTCCTTCTGGGAGAGGCCTGAGAACATGCAAATTCTGTGTCTGGGCTGCTTTGAGGACGCCAGCTGTGCTGAAGGTGGAAGGACTGGAAGACTAGGCTGGCTGCTCCAGCCCAAGCCTGAGCCCCTACGATGGCTGGTTAGAGTGCCACTTAGGGGAATTCTGGATTGCTCCCCAAGGTGGTTATTTAGTGTTGCTCAGTGACAGTTGGCCTGTTCTGTGTGGGGAGAATCTGAAAGACTGGCTGAGGTTGCAGTGCACGTTGTAGCCAATGGGCCACTACTTGCTTACGGTGGTCAGTTTGTGCCTTGTTATTCGCTGTTAAGTGATTCAGAGCTGGAAAATGATTCCGAGTATTTAGTGGAGGTAGGGTGCTTTTGTAAGCCTCCTCCTACCCCAAAGGTAGCACAAATCAGAATGCCTTTACTTTAGTGGTTGTAGCCTTTGACACCTAGACCTATGGATTTAAAACTCAAAACATTTCATTGGAAGTTGGATTTGAAAAGATTTTTTTTTTTTTTTTGAGCTTTCTTTGGCTGGTCAGAGTGTATGGGGATGTTTCTTAATACATTTTCATTGAACTTTGAAGCCTCAAAGTATTTTGTCACTGATTCAGCACTGTCAGAGTTGCATGCTTGGGGCTAGTGAGATAGCTCAGTGGACAAAGCGTCGGTTTTGGCAAGCTCAGGGACCAGGGTTCCATCCCCTGTCCTGCAGGCCACACTGGCCCTGAGCCAGCGGTGTGGTGAAATTACACCTGTAATTTTAGTGCTGAGGAGGCTGAAAACAGGAAGATCACCACGTGTCCAATCTGTAGTGAGACCCTGTACCAAATACACAGATGCAAAAGGAAAGCACACTTGTAACATTGTTAGTGCCAGTATGTGTTCGAAGGTTGGTACAAGCGTTGATTAACCAGTTACGAGGATTAAAGCGTTCCCCATGCAGCTTTGTGTGGTGCTTTTCTCTGCTTTCACTGTGAATTTGCTGGTACAGTAAGGAATAAGAGTGCATAGTTGGAGTTGCGTCTAAGCACCATTAGCACATTACAAGGTGAGATGCTGGTGGTGTGGACACAGGAAAGCGTCCACGTACAGCTGTGCTCCGTAACTGCCTACATTCTGAGCAGTGGCATTTAACTTTCGGTATCCACATGGAGTGTGTGCGCCATATTCCTAGAGATCTTATTTAAGGTATTTGAGTAAGGAATAATGGAGACTGAGCACAGCTGTAACTGATCTGCCAAGTACCATAGTGCACCGGGCCCATCAGGAGGGGTGAGTGGAGCATTGCTGGGCTCAGACCCCTCCGTCTTCAAAGGAGGAGCCAAAGCTTCATACCGGGTGTCCAGGCTAGTTGGAGCCCTCGCTGTCCTTGTGAGTGTGCCATTTTGGTATTAATAATGCCTTAAAAAGGGTTGAGCTAGATATTTATGGGACCTTTAGTGTGTTCTGCTTCCATGATAAGAATGTAAGATACAAGTTGTCAGTACACTTCCCAGGAATGGCTTAGACGACACTAGTGCTTACCAAGCTCAGTAATTTTTCAGCAGTGTTACATTTAGGTAAGGTTTACTGTTACAGAAGTTGTTAAGTGCCTTTTGAAGTGTTAAGTATTCGTGGAGTATTGTGCAAGGAATACTTAAGAAGTATTACTAACCCGTGAGGACTCGTGATAACTTAGTAAGGTATTTTCCAGAGAAAAAGTGGTGACCATCCTATTACTTTAAAGCCAGAATTACCAGATTTTGTATTTGCCACTTCTTTGTACAATTTGTTCACCTATCTTAAAATTATCTTTGAAATTCCAAAATCTATAATAATTTAACTTACAATCTTCCTCAACTTCAGAGAACAGTGGCCTTTCACTGAAATCTGTTTTGGAATGGGGTTAAGGACATACTGGTAGAATTACAGGTTTTGGGGGGCTGGGGAGATTGCTCAGTTGAATAAGTGCTTCCTCAAGTGCCTGAGTTCAATCCCTGACCCCCCTGGGAGTTTAAAGGTAAAATAAGGAAACTGATGTGACAGTTTGGATCCAGAAGTGACATTTTGGCTTGGCAAGATGGACCATAGTGGAATTGATGGGCTGGAGGTGGAGCCGATGAATGAGATTACAGCCTGGACCTCTCCGAAGTTGTCTGTAACTGTTGAGGCCCTTTACTTCGCTACAACAAATACATATTTACTAAAAATAAACTGGTGCATGTTCCCACACTAATAAAAAGTTCAGAGAATCTTCAAGCAGAATTTGTTGTGAAGTACACCCGTTTTAAAAAAGCGACTTTTAAAAGTATGTTTACATTTTTCCAAGGTAAAACACTGGATTTACCGCAGATATTTTTGGAAGCGCGGTTTTTTCCAGACAATGCGAATGTCCTTTACTTCCTCTGTTTCTTGGAGAGAGGAGGCAAGGAGCTGAGAGGTCACAATTTCAATTTCACAACAAGCTCGCTAAATAGGAAATGTACTTCGAAGCTCAGCCTAGTTCATGCATCTAACTAGGTCAGGTTTCAGTGAATTCCTTCTTAATTTCTTTACGCATACTCACAAGTAGCCCCTGCCCCTTTCCTGGTTTTAATCTTGAAACTGTGCCAGTGAGTTCAGATCATACAACCCTTGAGTTGTTTTTTTTTTTTTTTTTTTTAATTTCAATTGAAAGCTTAGTTTCAATTAAGTTACAAAAAGAACTTTCTCAGTTAAAGATCTGTGTGGAAAAACAGGCATGCATTTCATGTTGTGCGTGCCTTAGTGTGCTTTTGAGCTTAGTCTTCATAAACTTGTAACACTCCAGGAGAAATACACATGTACTACGTTAACGTTTAAAGCCACTACTGAGAAGCATGTCGCATGGTAGGCCCGGCCGTAGGGCGATGCGGCCCAGGTGAAGCCCAGCGCGGGTAGCAGGGCCAGGTGATCTCCACCCTGGGTAGGGGCTCTTAGCTCAGCGCCAAGGCCGGGATCAGCCCCGCGTCCCGGAAACTAATGTTTGCAAGGAAGCAAAAGGCAGTATACCTTTAAAACTCCCCAGAAATTGCTATCAAGGAGAATGTAAATTAATTTAGCGAGTAGCTGAACAAGTGTTTTGCCTTGTGGATTCCTGAATTTAGCTTAATGGAAAATTGCTTAAATAAAATTCGTGGAAATGCTGTCCGTTTCCTTCCTTTGAAGAAACCCCGATGAGGACAGCATTTAAAAACAACGTGGGCACACAGCCCGCCCCATTGTTTGCCGTCCACCCCGGGCTACCAACGCCGCCCCCCGTTTCCGTCGCGCGCTCCCGGCTGTCGCCTCCACGCGGATCCTCCGGGGCCTCGGTCGGGTCTAGTTCCCCGGGACGCGGCCTCCAGGCGGACGCGGCTCCGGCGCAGTGTAGCAGGGCAGAGCGCTAGTGGGCGCTGTGGGTCCGCGGAAGGCGCCGGTGCGGGCCGCTTGGAGCTGCTCCGGGCGCGGCGCGACCTCTGGAATCCGAGCCCCGTGCGGGCCGGGCCCGGCCGGGCGGCTCCTGGGTCTCTGCGCTCCTCCGGCACTCATGGGCCTGGCCGCCGTCTGAGCCTCGCTAGTCCCGGGCAAGGGATTGGAGGAGCACCGGCGGGACCAGGCGGGTCGCGGGGCCCGGTGATTGCCCGTCCAGAACCGAGGTCGATGAGGACCACTGGGGTCGCCGGGGCGCTGCGCGTGGCCGCCGCGCACACAAGGACCGCGTGGGACTCGGGGACCCCCGCCTCCCCGGTCGTGCGTGGGGCGAGCTTCGCGCTCCAAATCCTTCGTGCAGTTGGGACCTTGCTGCGCTGCGGGAACGCGGGCGGCAGGGCGGGGACAGGCGGTCCGGCGGGTCAGTGGCCTCGGCCCCGGCGTCCCCGCTTCGCCGCCCCGCCCCGCCCCGCCCGCCTCCCTCCTCAGCCGCGGGTACCCTCGGGCCCAAGCTGCCGCCGTCCGCTACCTGTCAGCCGAGCCCCGCCTCGCGGATGCCAGGCGGGGCTGCGGACGGACGGGCGGGCCGCCCAATCATCGTGCGGCTATGGCGTGGCGGACCAATAGGCTGAGGGCGGTGGGGCGGGGCTCCGCGTTTATAGCGCTCTGACAGCGCGCCCGCCGCGCTGACTCTCCGCGGCGGGGGCGGCGGCGCCGGCCAGAGCAAGGAACCGCGAGCAGCGGACCGAGCCCTCCCCGCACACAAAGGCCCGCGCGCCGGCGCCCGCGGCGGATCGGAACCGCCCAACTGCTCCGCGGGCCGGGAGCCGCGAGAACTGAGGAGGCGCCTTCCCCGCTTCGCTCGCCGGACATGGAGCCGCGCCGACGCGGCGCCCGCGCGCCCGGGCCG